GACACTGAGGGTTGCGATCCGTTGCCGGACACGGAAAAAAGACAAAAAAAAAAAAAGTAGTCATCAGCTCCCGACCTAAGGGATGACAAAGTGATTTCTGGGCTTTTGAGATGCCTAAATGGAAACCTCATTCTGCCCTGTAGGCAAAAAAAAATGTAACCACAAATCACTTATTGCAGCTCCAGGCAAATGAAAAATCTGAACACTTTATAAGGAAAATTGTATGTTCCTCTGTTGGAAGATGCTGTGAGATATAAAATAGGTCAGGAACAGACATCCAGAGTTGATTCATATATTATTGTACTCGATTTTGTCAGAGAGTTTAGAGGTATATGAATAATTTCTTTCAAATACCAGAACTGTTACTTTCAAATAAGTTTGGTCCTCTTTGAAATCTCCTGAAGGGACCATTTACTTTTCCCCACAATGCTGCCATTATTCAAACTATTTTGGAAATTGTTCTTTGACAATGACTCCATCACACTCTTTGGACCATCCTCAATAATGGCAAAAATTTCCTTAGGAAATTAAATTTTTGTAAACAGCTAAAAGTTATTATAACCATGACAGCCAAATAAGGTGACAGACGAAGGTGAGCGAACTGGGATGGGAACTATTTTTGCAAACCTGTTATGCAGAGATACAAGGTTAAGTGTATATATAAAATGTCATCTAATCCTTTAAGAAGACATTTAATAGATGAAGAAACAGGCTCAGTGAGGCCAAGTGACTTACCTAATATCTTGCATGCAGTAAATAATAAAACTTGGGTTTAAATTCAGCTCTTCCTGATTCCTAAGCATGTGCTATTCCCTGATATATCCTAAGCATATATTATTATCTGTTATCATATACATATATCTAATTCCTAAGCATATACTATTTCTACTATGCTTGCTGTTTCCTAAGACATCTTAAGGAAGGGGTTACTGGAGCACCCTTTGGTTCTTTTTTTTATCCCTAAATGAAATAGGAAAGCATAAAATGACTAATATTTGTTGACTGCCTGCAATNTAAATAATAAAACTTGGGTTTAAATTCAGCTCTTCCTGATTCCTAAGCATGTGCTATTCCCTGATATATCCTAAGCATATATTATTATCTGTTATCATATACATATATCTAATTCCTAAGCATATACTATTTCTACTATGCTTGCTGTTTCCTAAGACATCTTAAGGAAGGGGTTACTGGAGCACCCTTTGGATTCCAGGTTCTTCTTTTTATCCCTAAATGAAATAGGAAAGCATAAAATGACTAATATTTGTTGACTGCCTGCAATGAACCCAGCCTCTGCCAGGTACAAGTTATCTAATTTAATTTTTTAAAAAAATCAGGTAAAAAGGTATAATCATCCCCATTTTACAGACAACAATGCTGACTTGCCCAAAGTCTCAACAGCCGGTTAACAATAGGAGAAATATCCAAAGCTAGTTCTGTTCACCCAGAGTAGGTCTATCATTATTCTAAATAATAATATTTAGAGTAAAAATGAGGTATGATGAGAGAGGAACAAGACCATATTATAGTGCAATAAATAAACCTTCTCTGCAGTCAATTCCCAAAGAAGCACCCCTGGGAGATCTGAGCAATAGTAAGCTCATGAGCTAAAGGAGCCAAATTCCAGGATAAACAGCATGTTCAGAGTTCAACCTAGTTTTGTGTGTGTGTGTGTGTGTGTGTTCATTTCCCTATAGCACAGTGGAAGGCAGAACAGTATCACAGTTAAGAACTGGGGATTTAAAGTCAGGCATAATTGGGTTTGTGCCCCCAATCTGCCATATACTTGCTCTACGTCCTTGGGCCTGCTAAAGTTACTTAATCTCTCTAAGCCTCGCTTGTGTTCTCTTAAAAGAGACAGGGTTAGGGCTGGCCCCATGGCTCACTCCAGAGAGTGCGGCGCTGGTAGCACCGAGGCCATGGGTTTGGATCCTATATAGGGATGGCCGGTGTGCTCACTGGCTGAGAGCGTGGTGTAGACAACACCAAGCCAAGGGTTGCGATCCCCTTACCGGTCAAAAAAAAAAAAAGAGAGAGAGACAGGGTTTAGCAGAGAGTAACCTTAACAGATGATAGGTGTTAGAATTACTATTGGTATTAGTATGAATATCAGTATTGGTATAGGTATTAGTATTAATTAGGGCATATGGTCATTAAGAGGCTGCTCTGTCACCCCAGCTGCAAACACTCACATTTAGGTGTTGACTGTCTGGTCTCTCCTGGTGAAAGCAGTCTCGAACTGAACAAGGCCATCCACAATACTGTACATCATACACACATCCCTTTCCCCAGCCCCCTTCTCCAGAACACAGTAATGTCACATGGAGGACTTAGAAACTGCTCCTTCCATGTTTGCAAGAGAAAACCTCCTTTAAATACCAACCTAGAAAGTGGTAAAAATATTTGACTCGGCATCCAATACACAGCTGTGTGCAAGCAATTATTTGGGCGATTTAAATGCCCTTTCACAGACTTTCATGGATCAAGCCCAGTAGGAATGATGTACTTGAATACATTGCAACTTGGCAATTTCATACAGGTCTATAAATCCCAGAAACC